TGAGAAAAGCTCTTCGAGAGCTCGGAGACGTCTCATTTTGTCCAGAAATCTTTGCTCTAATTGAATAAACTAATGATAAAAAGTTCAATTATATTTGTACACAAGAAAGTCAATAAATACACAGGGGGTAAGTTTTTTTTGGATCACCCTGTAATATTGAGTACTACTTTTCGATTATGAAGAATGAGAATTTTTGATTTTTGAAAAGTAGTACTCAATACTATATTAAGATCTGCAGAAAGAAACATCTTCTAGAGTGCAGATGCGTCTTAAAATATTCATAAGACTTTTTTCTTCAACTGAAGACGTCTCTCGATCCTCTGTGTGACTTCGTTTGGTATATATTGACACAACAAAATGAAGAAAAAACGTTACGAAATTTCCTTGCAGTAGCAGAGTTAGCTGGCCACGCCGTGAAACAGTTTTTTCTCATCTTTCGTCTGATTCTAAACAGCAAACAAAACAACCCACATAAAATGGCAGCGTAAATTGATTAATCCCTGTACTTGTATTAACTCTTGTTCGTCGTCGTCGTTGGTGTTGCTGTAGTTCTTCTCTAATTGCCTTATGTGGATGTTTTGATACTGATCGTTGACTAAAAAGTTTGTCTTCCATATGTTTGGATGACAAGCGGTTTTCATATAAATGTTTAACGCCGTCTCTTTCCCATATTAATAGCTAATATTTCCATAAGATTGTACTTTGAATACTATACCATATTTTTAGTATTGTGATGACTCAATGTTCTATCGATCTTTTTACTCATTTCAACTTTGTTGAATAGTCCATTTAATTGATAATATGGTAATAATTCAACAAAATGATTAGAAATTATCCATATATTCTGTGATTCTAAACGTAGTGAGTTTTTGCTAAAATTTGATCGAACAACAGTATAGTAGCAGTACATTATAACGACAAGAGTCTCTCAGATAAAATCGTATAATAAACTAACAGTCTATCCCAAAATACTCGAAATCTTTTATTGAAATACTATTACTTTCATATTTTTTTTTCTTCTGTTTATATAAACTCGAAATTTTATACAAGAGATATATCAAGTAGTTCACAAATATACATTGACACGGTTCTCTATTCGCCGTTCTGGGAATTGTTTTATGAATATTCTCAACAATCGTTGATATAAGATATTATCTCTCCAGGAGGTTATTATCATAAAGCCTATGAACTTCTAATAAAGTATAAATTAAAAATATAAGATAAAACTGTCAATTTTATTATCAAAAAGAAAATGAGAAACGATATATATTAAGGTTAGTTTATTAGACAATATCAATGATTGGTGGGATACAAATATATTCTGAAGTCAAAAAACCAATAGAAGCATTTTAATACAATCAAAAAATTTGGACCCAATAAATGATAAACTATAAATAGGAAAGACAATATATATCATTTTATCATTTAGCTCTTGTGAAAAATTACAATATAGAAAATGTGGTCTTCTCAGTTATTATCTAGTACAAAAATTAAGTCAGGTAAGAATATTTGCAATCGGATGAAGGTTGCAGTAATCTATAAACAATTCTATTTCATTCATTAGATTATCCATTAGAACCTAAAACATGTAGTACACCAAAATTTATTCATGTTAAAAATGATCATTACATACTAGCTACGGCCATCACAAGTCCTCATCTATCAAAACATGTAGAAGATAAAATTTTTAGTCAACGATCAGTATCAACACATTCACATAAGATAATTAGAGAAAAACTACAGCAACAACGACGACAACGAACAAGAATTAATACAAGTACAGGGATTAATCGATTTACATATAATTCTAAAATGACAGAAATAACGAGACAGAAAAAACGAAAACATTTTGGATGGTTATATTCAAAAACAAAACTATTTTCCCTATCGAAGTTGTTATCAAAAAGAAGAAAGACAGTGTATCATGTATAAAGTTTCTCTCCTTTCAAATAAACGAGTTTTATATATATCTATCTATATATAGACAATTTTTTTTAAATAAACCGTTATCTTCTAAATGCTGTTGATCGAGTTTGCCGATTACAATCGATTACAGTTTTACACGGGACTGTTCGTTTCAGGATTAATGAAACAATAATTTTCTTTAACTAATCCATTTGATGTTTGTCACTTTGTGTCTGTATGGTGGGTGAGGATCGTTTAGAATTGTCTGTCTAGAACGAGGTGAAAGACGAGAAAACGATGTTTCATTAGAAGACCTGGATGTATATAATGGTTGATCATGTAAATTCGAGATTAACGGTACTCTTATGAAAATGAAAATAAATTTGAGAATGAACAAGGACTTTTTACTATGAAAATTAAGAAACATAGTATTTTAGCGACCAAACTTTCGACATCAGGACATCGGTTAACAAGATCAATGCTACCACCGAGCTATCGAGGTACAGTCTTGACATGTTTCTTTCGAGTGAATGGTCTTAGTTATCGAAATGTATATTGTAGTGGTCCATATCCGAGATAATTTTTTAAAATGTTAATTTTAAAAAATAGTTGTTTATATTCAGTGTTATAGTCAAATTCATTCATACGATGAAATCAAAAATGAGTTAGAAAAATAATTCAACAAGGCGTGCGCAAATTGATTTAATATCAAAACGATGAATACGAATCGATATAGAATAGCGAACAAAGTGGCTGTATATGAGTCATTTGCAACTTTATTGTACAATTGGTGAAAAATAATGAAAGTGACTTTAAACAAAATTTGATTAGCACATCTTGTTCTCCGTTGTTTTCTGAGTCTAGAACCCAAATTTCCCCACTACCACATGCGTAGCGACTGAGATATACCTCAACAAACTTCGGAAGGTTTCGTTCTCTAGGTTTTAGGCTATAATGATCTCGCGGTTGCTTTAAAAGCGGATATATCATACACCATTCGATAGGTCTCGTAGAGAGCTATCGATTCATACCATATGTAACTTAGTCTGACCTGCACAGCAAACGTTAGATCGTTAAAACCCGAATTTCGAATGTTTATTCAAAAATAAAACGCAAAGCTTGTAGCCTACAGGTGGTCAGCCACTTTGGAGAAACTCGACATCAAAACTACGTAAATTTATGGATAGATAGGTTCTTTCTTATGAACATCTCACATTCCCAAAAAAACATTTTCTCAAGTGCCCAGTTTTATTTTTATCTCGATGATCTACAAGTTGTCTGTAAAACAATTTTCGCCATAGACGAGCATAAACAAAAAAACAAAACAAGCATGAAGGCACACAATTTGATAGAGCATTAAATGCTCTACAAAACGTACTATTTGCTTTTTGCTTTTCGTTCCTTCTTTTGTTAGAAAAACTTACTTTTCTCTCAGTAACTCATCTAAAAAACACATTTTTTTCGACTTTTGCTGAGTTTATCTCGGTGAGTTGTTGAGATATCGAGCTTAGATTTTCTGTGGTAGTGAAGCAAGCAAACAGCGATAAAACAAAAAAAAGAATTTCGAAATCCGTTTTCAGAAGTCGGAGTAATTTTAAAAATACGACAAAAACTCAATTGTACAATAAAGTTGCAAATGACTCATATAGTCCAATTACGACGAATTTCTTCAAGGTCTAAAAATACTCTTGTGTTTGAATACTGTTTCTTCAGATATATTGAAATTACTATAACATTCAGATGTTCATGTAGCATTTTTACAATGCAGTGACGTCGTCCATTATCAAGGCTTAATAATAAAAAAACATTCTCTTGATTTTATTTGAAAACTGCAACTCACATGTGTCTATTTCTGACTTTTGTATATATTAAAATCTTTTATTTCTTGTTTTTAATATAGAAGAAAATATCTATGTAACCGATTTAGGTAATTTTTATTGTGCACAAGTCTGCATTTTAACGAAGATTAGAGCAATAATACAGAATTTTTTCTCATTATCAAGCTTTTACTGGCTGAGTAAACCACAAAACAACTGTTTTAAGGAATCTAATGTTAATAATTCATTATTCTTTGAGAAAAGAAGACAAGATTTCCTTTTTTCTTCACTTTGAGATTCTTCCAGAATACATTTGAGTACTGAGGACTCTTCAGTTCCAGTACATTCTGACAGATTTCCTACTCTTACAAATCCACTTACATAGAATTATTATTAACGAGGGAAGAACTCCAAGTTCCAGATCGTTTTTTCGATGAAACTAGGTTGGCTGTATGTAATTGATGACGCTATTGATGAACATCAGAGTTGCTCTTAGGCTTTTGTTGACCAATTTTCTGAAAACTGGATCTTCAGATAACAGGAAACCAAATCCAGAAAAGAGACAATCATTACACCAATTCGACATCAATATGTCAGAAGTAGTTGCTAAAGAATTCTGATGATAACACGGACAAATACCAAGAAATAACAAGAAAAAAAAAGAACTTTACTAGACTAGTATAAACGGTTTTCAAAAACAAAATAATCTAAAATGTTTCATTCACACTTTTTAAATTAATCCTCTATCACGCAATACACTAGTTACCGATTTATAAATCAACAAAAAATCTTTGTTCAAATCATCGACTGGTATATTCGATTTGCCCGAAATTGGTTGTGTTTTCACGTTAACAAAATTGTTATCATGTTTAATTTTTGTTTCTAGTTGATTATCTAATGTTGCTGTTGTTGTATGATCTGCTAATGGGCTTGCATTAACAGGCTTATACGTTGGATGATTTCGTAAATGTTCAATAACATTGAGAGATTCTTTATAAACATCTTTGACACTTTTTGTGGCATCAATACGCTTATGAATATTACGTTGTTGATAAAAATCGATCAAGGGTGTTGTTTGTTTATGATATGTTGATAAACGGGCATTCAACGTTTCGGTTGTATCATCTGAACGACGATCTAATTGCTCACCGGTGACATCATCTTTCATGTTCTCTTTAGGTGGATTGAATTCTTCATGATAAGTTCGACCAGATGGTTTGTGAATTAGACGGCCAAGTATACGACGTTTTAGTATATCATCTTCAATCTAAATAAATATTTTATCTTAAACAACTTAAAAATCTTTATTAAACTTTTCATTCTTACACCATATTCAATCACAGCATCAATTCTCTGTCTTCTTGATTCTAATAGTTCTTCTAATTGTTCACCTTGATAAATTGTTCGTGGAAATCCATCAAATAAAAAGCCATTTTTACATTCTGGTTTATCCAGATTGAGATTAATTAATTTCATCACAATATTATCATCTACTAAACCACCAGAATCCATTGTTTTTTTAATTTGTTTTCCAACATCCGATTCTTTATCTTTTGTAGCATGACGTAGAAGATCACCGGTAGAAATTTGACATATTTTATAATGTTCATGTAATTTACTACCTTGTGTACCTTTACCTTAAAAAAAAGAAACAATAACGAGAAATCAGTATACGAATTGTTGCCATTCAATCTTCTTTGTAAAACAAAAATACATACCTGAACCAGGAGCACCAATTAGAACAATACTAACTCCTTTTGTTTGATTCTCATCATTTGATGTTGATGATGTCTTTGTTTGTTGTTGTTGCTTACTTGCAGCTTTAGATGACATCTGAAAAATATAATACTTATTTTAGAATACTGAACTCGATAAATAGCCACAGAATAAACACTTAATTCTAATTTAAAATAGAGACAAAATCTTTTGAGAACCCTGTCTAATAAAACGGAGGAGAGTTAACCCTTTGACTACCATAGTATAAGAAAAGCTACACCTGTTTTTTTCATATTTCTTATGATGTAATTCATAAAAATTAGTACGTAATCTATTGAAAAGGAGTACTACTACTACTATTCGGTAGTCAAAGGGTTAAGTTCAAATAATACATTTGCTACGTTATTATGAATATAATAGAAAAATTTCAATTATTAAGAACTACGAATATGAGTATTGATTAAAAATGAATTAATATGAATCGGATATCAACAAAAAATCTGGTACAGTCTATTTTTTTTTTTACAAGTCTTGAAATTTGAATCAAAAGTAATGATCATACAAAATTGAAACGAAAAATGAAAATATAAAATTTTTCATTTAAAGAGAATAACACAAACAAGAGGAAAAACAAAATTATTTGATTCGAATAAAATACAATGTTCCACGTGAAATTTATATTGAAATTTATAAAAATCATTTCTGTCGTATTTACAAAAGAAATGCCTGCGGTTAACCTTTATCTTTTTAATTCAAATAGACAAATACATACACTAGAGTATGTACATAAAGAAAAAAAAAGAAAAAAACTATTGATATATTGTATAATTCCATTTATGAATATTTCTTTGAATAAAAATTCAAAATAACTAATATACATTTTCTTCCATAGAACTACGTTGCATACGATGTAAATATCGAGTACAATGTTTTCTGTATTTTCAGGAAACTAAACACTTAGATTTATGTTATTTTATTATTTTTATTAACTACTGTTTTTACTAGTGTATGACATACTATTTCAAACGATATATAAAAAATTTCATAATGAAAAATGCTTTTTAATAAAATAGTCATTTTTCTGAATAACATCAAAAATTTGAAATAATAGCATTAATATATATTAATTGGTCATTTTCAGTAGTTTAGAATATAAAAATTTTTGCACATTTTTTTGTCTTAATCTAAATAATCTTGACAAAATGGTATAAAAAGCATTTGATTTCATGTATTTTTGATAAATAGTAACTCTTATACCCAGTAGTCCAAACGTACACAACAGAATATGATCTTTTTCTTTAGACTAGTTTTTGAGTAGCTTGAAGTTACTAGCTTCATAGAAAATGACTAACGTACAGTTTCGAAACCGAATGTGTAGAATTTTTCACAGGCTATGTGTTGGTATGTTTTGTTTCAGAAGTACTAATAAATTGACTGTCGTAAGAAAGTTCGCTTATAATAGTGAGAATGTTTGAATTATTATTAACACTTTTTCACCAGCATCTAGCTAGTATTGGATTTTAGAACAATGCATTTTTGTTCATCACCGATGTTTCAACACGTAACTTTTATAATTCAAACTTGGTTCTTTCAAACACTAAAAACCTAAGTGTCTAGCTCCCTGAATACAGAGTACCGGTACAGAAACACTACTCGACAATTTGTAAAGTTATTTTACATCGTATGTTATTTTATTCGAGACGCTTTTGTATTTAGTAGATAAAAACGTAGAAAAAAGAATGTTATCCGTGATGTTTTGAGGAAGAGAAATAGTCTCAATACAATAAATATTCGCATTTGTGTAGTTCTGATCGATAATATACCTAATTCAGTAAAAACAACCACTAGTCACAAAGCAAATAATTTAAAACAACAGTAATTTGTATTGAGAAGATTAGAAAGTTTAATGCTATCCATAACAGAGGAATAATAAAATGACGTGCTTTTGATCCTGTTTTTGTTTTTGTATAATAAATTCTCGTAATTATACAGATTCAATAGGTAATCATAAGCAATAACTGAATAGAGTAGCATCAAAACGAGACATAGCAAGAGCTCAACATTGTAATAATAATAGCCAACAACAACTATCATCAGCAAAAAGTGAAAAATAAATAGTAGCTCATTACCACAATACATTGGGTAAACGAAGATTTTTCTTCAAAAATCCCACTTCTCTTCAGAACTGAAATATTTTGGTATCTTTCAAATTTCTACTTTCACAGACTGTGTCACTTTCTAATCTACTAGTAATTTCTTTTCTTAAAGGTCAGTAGTAAAATCGCCGCTTTTCTCACACGATGTCCAAGTAGCTTTGACGAAAGGAGAGACTAAACGTCGAGACGACTTTCAAGATTCATTTCTGATCAAAACCACGCAGAGATCGAACGTCACTTGCTGACTTTGAGCTCAGACTGTGTGTCGAAGAGCACCGGAGCAGATATCCAAAATTGCCTTGATCAACAGTCAGACAAGAGTGTTAGAAAAAAGCTTCTTGAAGAGGAGGATCCTCATAAACCCTGGGTACTTTGTACTTGAGAGAGTCTAACAAACAAGCAAAACTAGGTGCTGTTCCTATAGATTCAATAATCTAGTACCTTTACACTAATCATCCTCATTCCTACCAGATGCGAAGAGAAACAGATCTATAGTTTATAGCTTAGACATGCACCAGCTGTATAACTGCTGATGAAAATGATTTTTGTCTTTTTTCCATCGGTAAATTTTCTATCAAGTAAAATTGCAAGTACTCTCACGAATACTTCATAGTAATAAGATTAAATATTTCAATCCTGGAGAAATCCTTGTAAAAGTTCATGGCAAGTTAGAAGTGTTGAAAATATTTGTCCATATTGTCCAAGTACTGACTAAATAATCAAGTACTTGGCTTAAATACATTCACTAGAGTAAAAGTTGAAGTTTTTATGTGTGTAGATTTGTTTAGAACTAAACCGGTTTCTACTTCTAGTATAAAAGCTGAGAAACAACAGTCTCATTTTACATATTAAGACTTCTATAACTCAATGCTTCAACATTTTGATTAAGACTTTTCATCAAAATCTATTCACATTAGAATCATTAATCTCTAAAATTTTCGTTGAATCGATCACAGAACGTAGGAAATAAAAAAGGTTTGTAGCGGAGTTCTTTATAATATGCAAGAAAAACAAATATAAGAACTAAAGGCGACATTAATTCAGCACTCGCTATAGCGAATTAACAGACAACAGGAGAAAAAAATTTAATACTAATACAAAAAGTATTGCTGATCAATTAAGACTGTCTTGTTTTTTACGAAAATATTTTTAAAGGATAAGAATGAATCAAGTGTCTACTTTCACATCATATTTAGCTCGATCACATTAATATAAGAAATAAAAAACAAGTATTTTTCTTGTAAAAAATTGAAAATTTTCGATAAGCAAATTCATATTATATGAGGTTGGTTAACGTTTAAAGTTTAACGAAAACTTTCAGCTTTTTTCGCACGATTTCTAGTGCTTGCTTTTACAAATCGAAACGATTTCATCCTCATAAATGCATTGTATGGGAACTATTTCCAATACTCAAAATTTTTGAGTATAGATTTGATGCAAAAAATATTTGACCTCCTCCTATTTTCAATTGCTGCAGTTGCTTTATTAGTGTTGCATTGAGAATGCTAAGATTAAATGGTTGAACGGACAAGTTACAGACTGATCTAAAAATGCATTTTTGTTGTCTGGTGGTTTTTTTATTCACGAATAGTATATATTATAGTATTATAGCAACACAAACTCAACAATATATCACTCGGAAAAAATATCAAAAAGAAATATATAAATTGTGGTGATACAGAAAATATCCTAATTGACATAGTGTTTACAAGAGTAAAGTGTTACTATAACTTTGGTAAAGAGTAACTGACTAGCATTTACGCTTATTAAGCGCACCGGGCACTTCATTTAACAAAAAAAAGTAAACTGAGATAACCTAATAATTTTGTTTTGTGTTTTGATCATGTTACTTGAATGTTTGATCGTTGTAATTGACAAAATTTTTTAAATTCGAAATAAGCATGTAAAAACAGTGCTGCAAATGCAATATGTAAACCGAATATAGCTAAAAGTGTCAGTGTATGTCCATAAAATAAGCACGATAAGACAATACTAAATGCTTGTCTCATTGTCATTATTATGGTGAATATAACTGGACCAAATTCTTCAATTGTTGAAAATATGAATAATTGCCCAATTGCTGAACATAATGACATACCAGAAACATGATAGAAAAATAGTTGATGTGTTCTCATGAAATAGAAACATTGAAAAAAAGTACCGTTTAATATTAATGATGTCAGTGTTAATACTGTGGATATTAAATTAACATAAAACATCATGTGAAGAAATGTTATTTGAAACTTATCAAATACATATTTCTGATAATTTGATGTATAACCATCAAATCCAAGATATAATGACAGTAAGATAAGACCGCTTATCGTCGTTATACGATTATGTTCTGATGTGGAATTTTTGTTAATTTTTTCTTCAATTGAACTATTTTCATTATAACCGAAGAAAAATAATGCAAGACCACAACCCATTAAAAACATGAATAAATATTGTCTTAATGGATATGTTTTATTTGATACAAAACGACCAATTAACATAACTGGAATGGTTTTTATACTTTTAGCTACCACTTGAACGGGAAAACTAATATACAATAATGATTCATATTGAAACCATGTAGACATGCAATTTGCATATGATATCATGCAATAATCGTATATTCTAGGAGAGGAAACAGGTGTACCTAATGGAATATTGGTATTCTCTATCAACGATTTTTGTTGGCAAAATATTTTGAAACACGCATATGATACAAACATGGACAATAAACGATTCATAAATACCAGAAATTGTGAATTATTAAAATTTCTACCATCGTATGTACGAGTCATTATACGCTCTTGTAGTAGACCCCAGAGTAGATAACTTGTTTGTAGACCAATAAATGATATTATCAATTGAAAAATTCGTCGACGAATGGAAGATGCTGGAGAGGGAGGCGTCGTATTGATGGTGTTAACTGGATTAGAAATTTGTAAGTTTACATCGTTACTATTAACGTTTGTAACAGTTGAATTTGGTCGAATATCTGAGATAAATAAACGTATTAAAGATTCCAATAACCATTTTACGGGTTGTGGTACTAAATTTAAAATCATAAAAACTTATAGAAAATGATCTCTATATTCTAGAATTATTGTGTTTGAATTACCATGCTTGCAGATAGACTTTTTTTCTGTATATGTTTCTACTTACATTTATGATTCGAAGTTTTCTTTGATAGGACGAAAAATCCTACGATTGTTAATGATAGATAACCAATATGATTTGATGCCAGACGGATAACCCAACTATCAGCCGTTAAAGTTTGTAACAAGCTCATACTTCTATTAAAAACTAAAGTGAAAAATAGAAAATAATACGTTAACGTAAAATATTGAACATATTGATCTCATACACAATCTTTCTAATAAACCACTGCGTTTTAAACTGAATAGTGCGTCTTCTATAAGAATTGATGTCAAATCATCTCGCTATAGTATAACTTTAAGAGCTAAAAGATGTATGAAAAATTTTTGTCAAGATTTTCTAGTCAGTTGCTTTTAGTCTTTTGATCAAAAATAACTTTAATAATTATAGCAAATTACAATGAATATTTGTTACGAATAAAAACTACGCACATAATTGTGTTTGCCATAAATTTTGAATTGTTAGGTTCATCTCCTGTCTAGACCAAAGATCCAGTGAATGCGAAGCAGAACCATTAAAATACATAAAAAATCTTGAAAGTACAGAAAAGACACGAGATTTTTTCCTTTTGAAAATTTTTGTTTTTTTGTCTGTTTCTGTCACTTTTAAGTGGAAACTTCCTCGCTGACTGATTGCAAGTGCAGGTAGAATGAATATGAATAAAATACATACAGAAACATATAAAAGTACTGTTAATTAATAAATCGATGGGAGGGAGAATAGTTGAAAATAATTAACCTCAGTATATGTGTTAGTTATGAGAGAATTATATCCTTGGAAATTCAATACACTATGTAAACTATTAGTTCTTGGGCAAACTATTTTTATTTATATTTCACAAGAAAAGTAATAGTTAACTAAGTATTTTCGTCTGTGTGTATGTTAGATAGAAGTGTACCGATTAATTGTGAAGGGATAGATTGGGAGATTTTTCTGTGGATTAAGTCACAGGTCAAGATATTAACAGTCTGATTTTGAACTAGGCAAGAAACCAAACGATTCTGAGGGATGAACTGAGAACAGATTTTGTTGGAGACAACAAAATCGTGTTTTATTTGTTCATGTAATAAATCAACTACACACAATGATTTATCGTTTCTCTTTTTTGTTCTTGTATATTTCGTTTGCTCATCGTTCCTATTGGAGTTTCAACTGTTCAAGTCATTAACAAAAAATGATTTCAGTCAATAACAAAAAGTCATTCTGTCGTGTGCGCGTCTCTTGACTCGTCAGATATGTCTGATATAAGTTTGTAGATAAAACCTGATAGAAAGAATAAATATGAATATAAATAATATAACAATATTGTACAGATTTTCATACACATGTTTTATCAAATGCTGATATTTTAAAAGGAGTTCAGTTAAAAAAAAACCGCATATCTGCCAATAATTAGCTTAGTTCTACTGCACAGTTTTTGTAACTTTTGTTTTTGTTATCAAAATGAGTATTTTAGATTGAGATGACATCATTTCATTAAAATAAACATTCTCCATTTTTCTCCCTCATTCAAAAAAATAACTTACTTTACCAATAACTTTACTTTAGTTTTAAACAAATGCTTTACTAGAAGTCGTTAATCTTTTCAATCGGTATTTTTTTGGCATTTGGGCATCCGTGTACACATTGAAGTATGTGTAAATATAACTAGGCATTGGAAATATGTATGCGTATAGCGCAATGAAAAGAATATGTAAGAAAGCTGATGTAGTCGATAGATGTGTGTCCTTCTTGGCATTCTCATTTTCGAAGGGTAACTCACACTGCCTAATAAATATAAATCTAACACGTGCGCCAGAAATAATATCTCTCTTCGTATTTTCTAAACATCTCGGTTAACGTTGGTCTCCAAGTTTCAATCTTTGTTTTGAAAGGTTCGCCATTCAGTTCTATATACAAAACATATTGAACATTTCTTTATATACTTACTATAAGGACAAAAACAAATATAGAGGAAATACAGAAAAGCTTCAATCTCGATTATTTTCAAACCCAAAGCTCAACCAAAATATATTTTTTTTGAACACGATGCTATGCATGTATATATGTGAGCTGTAGATGACACATCTACAGTCTCAAGAATATTCGAAGCCCCTTTATCCCCCATCTCTACGATATAAACGGAGAATACATTTCGATTCCACATTCATGCATGAATGTGGAACCAAATGTATTTTCTGGTGATCTGGAATGTCACCTTCCTTTTCATATGTCATAAGACCGCTTTAAACCTTTTCTTTTCTGCTATTAACGAAGATTTTACTAAAAGTAAATAAAAAGGAAAAATCTGATTCTCGTCTTGGCACAGGAAACAACTTATATAAATTTTCTGAAGTGTCTCAAGGCTGAAGTTAGAAACGATGATTTTCGGCAAATTTGCTAAAGGAAAAAAAAAGTCTTCCTCCAACTGCTTGTGACTATAAAGAATCTTAAATATAGCTAGTTGATAGAGCTTCTCAAGAACTGTAGAATGGCCATTTTCTCTTTTTTTACATCGCGCAATATAAAGGACTGAAACTGAAAAAACTGTTTTTTTGGGTGTGACAGTAATCGACATTGAAGCTTTCCCGTATAAGCTTTATATTTTTTTTTGTTTTTATAGTATATAAAGAAATCTTCAATATGTTTTGTATATAAAATTGAATGGGGAATCTTTTAAAAAAGATTGAGAGTTGGCGATCGACGTTGATCGAGATATTGAGAAAATACAGAGTGGGACATTATTTCTGGCGGCACCCGTTGTATACCATACTATATATATGTAGACACGTGGTCCGTAAAGGAATTAATTCTCTCATATAGAAAACTTTAATATTGAGACAATTAAACTGACAATTTTAAACAGTTTTTTGCAAGCTTCGCGCTTCATCATCAGGCAAAATTTATTCGTACGAATAAATTTTGCCTGATGATGAATTTGCCTGATGAAAACTTGCAAAAAAATGTTTAAAATTGTCAGTTTAATTGTGTCAATATTAAAGTTTTGTAAAAATATACTTTTATACAAAAATAATCATATAGAAAACGTCCATATTGTCTGAAAAGCAAGCTCTCTTTCTGGGATTCATTATCGAATAATTAGAATACATATGAGCAAAAGAACTTTAGCTCAAGAATATTCGAAGCCCCTTTATCCCATCTCTACAATCTATAATAACTGAGAACGAGTGACTGACGTAAACGGAAAAAGTGTAGAGAAAGAAAGATTTTTTCAAACTGTAAAGCAATAAGTTTCCTATCATTTCACTCAGTCGACTTTACTATTACTTTTCTTGTGAAATATAAATAAAAAAAGCTTGTCCAAGAACTAACGTTTACATAGTGTATTGAATTTCCCAAAGTATAATTCTCTCATAACGAATACATATATTAACGATACATGTAAAAATAGATAAACAGACAATCTAACAGCTTTAGATGTTTTTTCAAATAAGTAAACAGTATCAAAGAGTTTCTGTTCTACTTACAATTGTTAAAGTGTGTTATTAGAAGTTTAAGCGACATATAGAAACCGTCTTCGATTGTAATGAAGGAAGAGGATACCTATATATTTCGATTGCAATCAATAAATAGTAAGTGAGTGGATTTGCATAGGTGACTTTCTGAATGACTGGTTTTTGAATTTCCGAGATACTTCTTACTGTTATGTACTTGTTTTTCTGTCTTATATGTATTATTTTGTTAAGCTATTCCGTTAATCAAGGACATTCGCATGATATTTTTCAAAGGTACACGTGTTTATGGGGGGTGATTATGTACTTAAATAAAAGATTTTTCAACTCATGATCTTCTTGGAGGTGGGATTACCTGTAGTAACGCGGACATTAGTTCAAGGATGATAATGGAATATTATGTATTGGTGCAAAATAAGGTGATTTCTCTTTATGTGACTAAAACAAATCTGATCATCGAGGCAGGTAGTTTTTGTCTTTTAATTTATTTTACACACATTATCCTTTAGGAAAGAAGAGTGTGCTACAATTCGTCATAATATCAATAGATTTCTCTACTTTTTCTCTTTGCATGTATACATTAAATTAAAGTCATCAGTACGATACTATTGTTCAATAAATCACTGTAAAGATGATTATCACACAAATTGCATTTTAATTTTGTTAAAAATTTATGATCGTTTGACAAACCCAACGAAAATTACAAGGGTATCGTCCCGATTCGTCGACAAATCGGACACTTCAAAGAAAATACATCAGAGAATTTCAAAGGCGGGAGGGGCGGTGTGAGAGTGAGTGTCGACGAATCGGGACTGAATCAGTTACAAGGCGTCACGTAGAACAATATGCTTTGAATTAGATAATTTTGCAGTATATAATTGTTAACATTTACTGTTTTATATGCATTTTCGAGCTGTCGAATCGTCTAGAAATTTGCTTCTACATAAAATAAATACATATGAAAAGAACTCTTCATACAATAGTTAAAATTCAAAGTAACAGTACATGAATAAATAAAATAATCGATTAAATTAAATCCGACAGTTATTCAATATTAAATTTTGCCATTATGAATCAGTAATCGGTCTAAACTATTTCGAATATTGTGAATCAGGAATCGTCGTGAGAAAGACTTTCATGAAATCTGAGGGAGACCTACGAGACGAACATTTTCAAAGCATCCACGATATGAGATGGAACCGGATACAAATTTTTAAACTATACGAGGGACAGAAAAAAAATTTCATCTCATGATAGTTTTATTAATGAGTAGTTTATCTTTTTACTACAAAGTCTTGTGATGCATAAATGTAATATAACGTAAACAAAAACAGATTTTTCCAGTTTCATATGTTGAAACGAGAAAAACAAACGAATGAGATCGTCGGCAGCAGAGACTATGCCTAGCAAGAAATAGTTTCAGAGAAAAAAATTAGTGCGATCCCGAGAGTAAAGTA